GCCTTCAATAGCCTGCAGCTCTGCCCTTGTCAACCACCTCCACCAAGTCTGGCCTCCTTAATGAGAGCATTCCCCAACTTGGTTGCTTGGTTGCTTCACTACTGTTCTGTTGCGCGCTGGGCCTGTAAATAATTGTCTTTAGAACAGGATGTGCAACCTTTGCCCAGCGGGAAGCCAGGGGGCCTAAAGAGAAGTTTCCACCACAAACAGTCTTTAGAAGGCTTGAGAAGTACAACAAAGTCTTTTATTAATGAACCATCAATCAGAAACTTCTCTTGTCTTCAGTAAAGTTAAGCAAATGATTCCAAGCTTTTAGGCAACTGGTGAATTCCTAATCTTGCCCATGAAGGACAGGCAACTGTCTTCAATAACTTCTTCTTTAAAGGAAAATCCCCTTTTTAACTTCTCCCAGGCTGACTGTAATCTAACCCTTACTGATGTGGGCTCCGCCACCGGGTCGAACTGCGCCGAGTGGACCTACCAGCAAGGCAGTAGATGTTCTCCAGCTGGAGTTCTTTGGTCTTTAGGGCTGTTTTCCTGGAAATTCTTTGGAGACTCTTAAGACCTTTCTCCCCCAGAAGGTCTTAAGGGTTGAAGCTTTTGTACAGGGGAAGCTTGCACACATCCTATACATAAGCTTACCTTGCTGAGACTAACTAAATATGACTCCCTTCTCTTCCCAATTGCCCTGAGCAAGGGGCGGGACCAAAACTTAACAATGATGGACAAGTGACTTGCCCTATGACTGCAACCAAAGAAGCCACCTATCTGCAGAGTCCCTGAAACCTAGGACTGCAAGCAAACATTTAATACAAAGCAAATAAAGTTGGAGCTCCTGGTACAGCTGTACCAGAACAACTACATCGGCTATTGCTGCAAATTGCTGCACGTAATGACAGTGTGAATAAATTGCTAATATTTGCTTGAGATAGTGCTTGCAGTTCTGGAGGGACTCTTGATTTTTTGCGTCTCATAGACTTAGCACGGGAATTTGGTTAACCAGTTAAAATTCATGAGTAAAACAAGTTTTTTTTAAAAAAAATCTGAAACATTTCAGGGGGGGTTGAACCCCTAAACCCCCCCCCCTCGCTACGGGCCTGGGGGAGAGCAGGCGTGCTCAGCACATGACAGAGAAGGTACAAATACAAAGTCTCCAAAAACCATATGCCAACAAAGCAGAAATGCAATGAAGCTTGTAAGAGGTTGCGGGAAACTCATAAGTGAAGCTTTCATGAAGTTTGTCAGAAAATGAGATAAAAGGAATATTTCTCTGATATTTTGGCACCAGGGAAGGCCTGAGCTGTTGCAACACTCTTCAGGGTTCCCATTAACAGAACTGAGGCAAAAGCCAGACAATTTGGGAATATTTACAAATATGTTACCATTGGTTTGAGTGGGCTTTGGTTTGTGTTTGTAAGCTGAATTAGTTTGGGCAGGATGTGCTATCTCTCCCCCGTTACAATGATCAGCCACAGTGCGTTCAAGGTGAAGAAATAGATTTCACTGCTCTTTTTCTGAAAACAGGAAATGCAGTTTCCTGGCCAGAGAGAGATGGAAGGAAGCATTTCTCATTTTTGTGGTGTTCAGTAAATCTCATCATCGACTGTCTCTGCCTTGCAGCTGTGGTTAATATCTAATCTGGATGAATGTATGCTCACTGAACATCTGCACTGCTTAGACTTGTAGCAGCAGGATTTTTCTTCTCTCGCAGTGCTTAGTAATTCTCTTTATGAAGTGAACATGAACAGATGAATGTGATTACCTCAATGATGTTTAACCTATAGATATTCTAATGCTATGTTGTTGCCTGAAGCAACACTTACACAGCTAGTACCTTTGAACTGAATGCAACAGGATACATCGATGGCTCTGTATAATGTATATATATTACCTGTTTATGGTTTGTCGTGTTTATGTTTTATCAGTGATCTCTGGATTTACTCTTGTGCATTGGGCATAGGTTTGGTGTAGTTGTTTTGGTTACTGCTGCTAAGAAAGAGAGGCTGAAAATTAAATAACCCACTCTTGATGAAACAGAATTATGTGTCACTATGATTATGGCCAACTTCCACAGAAATGGGCACTGTTGACCTACCACTCCAAACCGGCAAAAGAACCTCTACACATTAGCTGGCATCTGCACAACTAATGAAAGTGAGGACAGATTGAATCCTTTGGCCAGGATCACTAGAGGCAATTTGCTCACACAAAGAAACACCCAATGCCACATTAAGCAAATGGCTCTTTTTCTTCTGTTCACACTGGTTGGACACATCACTTCACAAGTTTTTTTTCTTGAATGCTGTAATGGATCTGTAGCAAAATTGCTACTCTATGTTAAATTTTTGGTGTATAGCTCTATGTTTACATATGGCAGATAGGGAAGAATAGGCACAGACAGGGTAGCAACAGCAGAGATAGGATTCATTTGCATATGGAAATGGTCGTATGCAGATTAGCGTAGGCCCAGGATTTTAAAAGGTTGCTAGGCCAAAATGATAGTTGGGAAGAGCAGAGCTAAACATTCAAAAGGGGCGGAGCTAAGGTTTTAAAAATAGGCAGTTAGAGAGTAAGAAGAGTCAGTTAGGAATGGCTGTTTGTGAGAGGAGTTAGGAATTGCTGTTTGTGAAGATAGTTAGGGATTCCTGTTTGTGAAAGACAGTTAGGAACTTCTGTGAGAGAAAAGAGTTAGGAACTCCTGTGAGAAATAAGCAGTTATGAAGATGTGTTAAAGACTTCTGATATATAGGAGCAGTTAGTTAAATAGAGCTCAATTTTTAGGAACATAAAGAAAGCCAGTGGTGCTTTAGTCATAAAATAATTTTGGTCAAGAGTGTGTAAAGCAAGTAACATGTTTGTGAATGTGAAACATTGAAAGTCTACTTCAGAAAAGTAAACCAAGCATATTATACTGACTATAAACCTCAAGATTGCAACAAAACACAACTGTAACCACAAGCGTTGGAGCTAGAAGCTATAAATAAACTGTGTTACTTTGTTATACAGAAGAGTGTCTCATTGTCTGTACAAAGGTTAAACAGCACACAGAAAGTCCCAGCTAATATAAAAGAAGAAACTGAATCATAAGAGTACAGAGGTTTTTTTAATAAAGAAAGAAATAGTCTCTCTCTCCCTCGCTACAATATAAAATGGTGGCAGAGGTGGAATAGAAAAGAAAGGTCTCCCCTGCCACACAACCATGCCTTTACTTTCCTCATAGGATCCCTTACCTTAGCTGGCTGCCTGAAGCCTAAGGGAGTGGGCCTGGCGAAGAAACAGAGTCCATTTTAGAAAAGGGAGACAGGGAGAAGCCACTTTAGTTAGGTTTGCCTTGAGGGGGTGTGTTCCAATCGAAAATAAGAGAACTAGGATTGGCTAGAAAGATGGGGGTGGAGCCTAAGTGGGCTAGAGGGAAAAAGTGTCCTTTTAAAAACAGAGGCTTGAGGTCCCAGTTAGTCAGTTAGGGTTTTGAGTGTTAGAGAGAGGAGAGTTGCTGTTAGTGAGAGCGAGTTTGGGTTTAGAGAAGAAGTTTGGGTTAGCCTTTTGTGAAATATTCAGAGTAGCTATTGAGTAAATAGCTAGAATACTGTGGAGGAGCAGTACCCCATTAGTGGTCTGTTCAATTCCTAAGGAAGTCTAGTTCAGGGTATTTTTGGCTAGATTCCTAAGGGGCATTTTTGGAAGTTACTGTCAGAGAGTAATTTTCTGTGGTGGAACTTTGAAGACTTGTAACCCAGAAGATTTTAAGATTTTGACTCTAATGCAACCACAAGCTTTTTATTTTACTGAAACCATTAAGCATTTGTACCTGAGTATTTCAAGCCTGTTCAATAAACATACTTGTTATTTTATCAACTTATACCAGCCTCAGTGTTTGTACCTTTGTGGTCAAAGTATTTCTAAAGACAGCTTCACAGTTGGGTGCTCAACCCTGACTTGGGGTTCGAACTTGGTACCTTTTGTTGGACAGTGATTTATTGCAACTAATTAACCTACCAGCCTGACCCCTAAAGTCTTAAAGATAAAGCAAACACTTTCTAAGATGCGTCATCCAAAACTTGGCTTTCCCTCATAACAGACTGCTGCTCTCAGAATAACCACCCATGGGAACTCCTCTCCGCAGTGCACCGAAACAGGAGGAGAGTGTGACAGTTTCCTTCAAATGTGTTTACCAGCTGGTACTATGGATCTTTGAACACAATTGCTCCTCTGTGTTCAGAGCTCACCCCTTTTGCCACAATTGCTCTCCAGTTCAATGATGGAAGGCAGAAATGATTACCAGAAGTCCAGATGCATCATGTGGTGGCATCTATGCCTCCCTGTCATTGAAAGTGTCCTACCACTATCCATCTGATGAGGACATCTGTCCCTGTCACTGCCAGATACAGCAGCAATAGGGGGACCTACCTGCGGCTGGGCAGTCTTCCAGTTATTTATTGTAACCCAATCAGAGATATGGCTGAAGGGGCGGGGAAGGATTGTGATTTATGACGTGTTTGTAGAGATCCTGAAGCAATGCATTGTAGAAAGCATTTGTGTATTTACAGACAATGATGAAAATAGTCTTTTCCTGCTTTTGCCAGATTATTTATGCTGACCTGCTTCTTAGTACCAAAGTCAACAGTCTCCATCATTACTCCAAAAGCAAAACTTAATCGATTTTAAATGCCATTGCACCATAGATGTCTGCTTTCTGTTGGCCTTATTATTCCCCATGCTCCTTTAAACATGTCATCAGTTGAGTTTCACTGGGCAAGCACAGTCAAGAAGAGAAAAAGCTAAGGAAAACATGTGGCAAATGAATATCCACATTTACTGCATCAACTGTTTAAGAACTCAATTAAGAGGAATCCTTTCTTGTTTGATCTAATGATGTTAGAAAACGGAAAAACCACATGTACATTTTAAAACGTATTTTTTATCACAGAATTAAAAACCTTTTAGAAATCATGTCCAGGAGTAGAACTTGAATCCCACTTCTGTGATGCCAGAAGTTTACTAGCAGGTAAATAATATTTCTGTAAATGATGACCAGAAGTCCGGATGCATCGTGTGATAGCGTCTATGCCTCTCTGTCATTGAACTGGAGTGAAAGTGGAGTGAAAACGGCCCAGAAATCCCAATTGGTCCAACGGGCGGCGGCCAGGTTGTTAACTGGTGCTCCTTACAGGGAGAGGGCAACCCTCCTGTTTAAGGAGCTCCACTGGCTGCCATTCATTTTCCGGTCCCAATTCAAGGTGCAGGTGCTTACCTACAAAGCCCTAAACGGTTTGGGGGACCCGCCTTCCTTCGTGACCGCATCTCTGTGTACGAACCCACATGATCTCTTTGTTTATCTGGAGAGGCCCTGCTTACGATCCCACCGGCATCGCAAGCGTGATTGGTGGGGACGAGG